GCCCTAGACCTCAACAAGGATTATTTATTCTTATTTTTTTCTAAAAGGAGATTGGAGACTGGAAACTGTAGGCTAGAGGTGTCAAATGGTGACCTTTGGGTCTTATGTGGCCCACAAATACAGCTGATCCAGAGTAAAATGTAATTAGGAAATATTTAGTAAAATAAATAAAAACCCAGTAAAATATAGGTAATAATTACATTTTAAGACTAAGTTAATATGCAGCTACAGGAATTCTTTTGCGGGGGATCAATGACCCCCATTTCTATGTGCATTAACACCACTTCTCTAGGCTGTTTGAGCTTAATTTTTCTTCCAGACAAAATTCCAGGATGTTTTATTAATAGAAAGATCAGAATTTAAGAATACCTCAAGGGTATTGCCTCAATTGACATAGTGCATTTTAAAAAAATCTCTGAGGCAAAGAAAATAGAGATAGTGGGATGAAAATTTTTATCTCAAAGTAAAATTCTAACATCTACTTGTGATGATTTGTATTTTAAGTGTATTTGCACAGATAGGAATTAGAGAAGTTATAATAAAATCATTTTTTAAAATTTCTGCATCAATTGCCATGCTTGGCCCTTTTAGTGAATTACTGAATCTAGAAAAGGAAGCAGGGGATGCAAAGCCCTTGTGACTTCTTCATGAACAGACCACATCAGATGAACTTAATCTCTTTTGACAAGTTTCCTAGATGGGTAGATCAAGGGATGGGGAAGGTAGAGTTGACTTAGCTTTTGGCTAAGCATTTGACAGAGTTTGTCGGGCTGCTCTTGGGTCCAAGATGGCGAGATTAGGACGTCAGTGCTGTTAGGAACCTTCGCAATTGGGCAATGACAAGGCCTAGAACAATCCTTACTGGATCAAAGTCTGCTTGGAGCGATGCAATCACTGCAGTGTCTCCGGGAGCTGTCCTTGGGCTGGGCCGCTGAACATTTGTTATTAATGTCTGGATAAGCTTATCACATTTCCATGTGACATGAAGCAGCCAGGGACAGCCAACTTAGATCAGGCAAAAACATTTTGAAAATGTGGAATAATGGGGGTGAATTGAAGATCATGAAATTGGGATTATGGCACAATCATTTATTTATACACAGCCTTAAAGCTTGCAGAATGTTTTGTGCACATTATCTTACTAGAGACTTAAAACAAGCCTTCGAGGTAGGCTGTATCAGAATTATTATCCCATCTTATAGAAAAGGAGACTGAGGCTGAGGCAGGCAGGGTTTATTTAACTTGCTCTGGGTCACATAGCTAGTGTCTGAGACAGGATGTGAACTCAGGTCTTCTGACTTCAGGCCTGGCGTCTATCCGCTGCACCACGTAGCTAGCCACCAAGGTATTTAGCATCTCTGGGCCTCAGTTTCCTCATCTGTAAAATCGAGGGTGGTCAATAGGACTAGAGGGCAGCTTGTTCCTATGAATAGGAGAAGACCTAGGTGTGAGGTAGACTTCAGTCTAGGTCTCACCTGTTCCTGTGAATTGTCCCTGTACCCCCTGTAAACACTAACCAAGGAATGTTCCTTGCCTGAGGGCTGGGGGTTCAGCGAGAGGGAGCCCTGGCACGCGCCATGCCCAGCCCACCTCCAGCCCTCCTTTTCTCCAGGGGAGAAGGGCAGAAGGGAAGGACATGGAATAGGGAGCAGGTGGAATGTGGTAAGCCTCAGGGGGAGGCAATTACCCAGGTTAACACGTGTTGAGACATTTAGAGGTAATAATGTCTCTGCTCTAAGGCCCCTCTCAGCTCTGACATTCCATGTTCTAAGGTCCCTCCCAGCTTTAAATCCTGTGATACCAATAAATACTCATTTCCCACCCAAGACTGAGATGCCCAAGAGCAGAAGAGGCTGCCCTAGGAGGTCATGAGTTCCCCATCCCTGGAGGATGAACAGTCACAGTGGCCTGCCCAGTTGACCCCTATGAAATGCTTGTTGAAAGGAATGCAATGTCTGTTCTGGGAAAGGTTGGCCTAAATCTCTCTGCGGTCCCCTTCAGTTCTATGTGAGTCTGTGACTCTGTGGCAGGCTTCTGGTGGGAGGCCAGGTGGGCAGGTGATGGCCATGAGTGTGGACATCACAAGGAATCCAGGGGGTCAGGGAGGAGTGGGAGTGTTTGGGAAACATGAGCTCCTTCTTTGACCCTAGGGTGACGTTGAGCTTTCATTTGTCCAGTTCCTTGTGATAACTCACATTTATATGGCGCATTAAGGTTTACAAAGCACGTTTTCTCATGACTAACTCCATGAGGTCTGAAGCGCAAGGATTATCCTCCCCGTTTAACCAGGGAGGAAACTGGAGCCCAGAGAGGGCCAGAGACTTGCTGAAGATCACACAGCCAATGATTATCAATCTGAGGATGAGGATGACAAGGATCAGAAAAGTAGAACTCAGAGCAAGGGGAGGGCAGGGGAGAGATTTTGGTTGATATGCTATGGAAAGCTTCCTGAAGGAAAGGACATTTCAGCTGGTCTTTGAGAATAGAGAAGATATTCACAGTTGGTCAAAGGGGTGGGGTAAGGAGAAGATAGTTACTCCAGGGCAACATTTGGGAATGGGGACCACATTCCAGAGGGGAGTGCAGAGTGCTAGTGGCAGGAGGTAACACTTGAAAGGGAGTTTGAGGACAAATTATGGAGGGCATTGAATGCCAGGCAGAGGAATATGAATTTCATCTCGTAGTCCATAGGGAGCTACTGAAGTGTCTTGAGCTGAGGTGGGGATGTGTGGAAGAGAGTCATGATAAGAACTTGACTTTAAGGTCACGTATAGGATTGAATTCTTGTAGCGCACACACTGCCTCTATCCTCAGACACTTTACCATCTAGCAGAGAGAAAAGGGGATCCTCTCAGTCCTGACAGCAAGGAATAAGACTTCAAAACAACTATATAGTGAAATGGATAGAGTACTGGGTCTGGAGTCAAGAAGACCTGAGTCGAAATCCAGCCTCAGCCACTTGCTAGCTGGGCAAGTCACTTAACTTTTTTTTTTGGCCCTTTGGAAGATGGGGATAAGTATAGCAACTGCCTCACAGGGTGTTGTTCTGAGGTTCAACTGAGGTGATACTTGTAAAGTACTTAGCACTGTGCTGGAACATCATAGGTGCTTCAATGCTCATTCCCTTCCTCCTAGCCCAAAGGGAGGGGAGATCAGCAAAGTTAGGGGGCGGTCTGGTCAGGAGAGCTCTGTATTGTCTTGGAGCATGACAGTCCTGGAGAATCTCAGGAGAAGCAGAGTGGGTACTGGGAGCATTGGTTAGGGGAGGTGGCAGAGCTTTGTGGGATTCGACCTCAAGGTGGGGGGAGCTAGGGTCTAAGATGGCAGTCTAGTGGAGTCCCTTCAGAGAACTGGTCTGCAGGGAGAGAATGTGAAGGTGTCAAACTCCACTGAAGCACCTCGCCTTTCCCCTCAATATCCTGCGGACCCAAGGTTTTTCCCATGGGATATTTATCCTAATATTTTGTTCTCTCCTTGTCTTCTTGCCCCCTAAGGGTTTCTCACTCCTTTGGGGTAGGGAACTATGCCCTATCTGGGTGTGGTGGACACGGCACTCATTGGACCAGAAGTTAGAAGATCTGGGATCTCGTTCTGGCTCTGAAGTTACTGTTCTGTGTGATCTTAAGCGAATCTCCTACTCTCTCTGGGCCTCAGTCACCAAGTAGATAAGGTGATGTTTGGGATTAGGTGATTTCTAAGATGCCTCCCAGCTCCAACATTTCATGTTCTAAGGTCCCCTCTAGCTTTGACATTTCATGTTCTTAGGTTCTCTTGCCATTCTGACCTTCTCTGTTTTCAAGTTCCCTTCCAGCATTGATGATGGCCCATGTTCCAACATTTTGCATTCTAAGGTCCCTTCCTGGGCCGGCATTCTGTGAACCTAGGCTTTTGTTGCAGGGCTGGGTATGCTGTGGGTTTGAGGAAGACATTAAATTTAACAGAGTTGAATTGAGAGCCCTCAGCAGCTCAGGAAGCCTGGAGAGCTCCCTGCTGTTTCTGATTTCCCTTCCTTCCTCCTCCCTCCTCCTTCTGCTTTCCCCTCCCCCTTCTGCTTCCCCTTCCCCCCTGCCCAAGGGCAGCAGCTGCCAGGGCTCCCTGGAAGGCCAAGGAACCCCGCCCCAGTACATAAAAGGAGTGGGCGGGGCTCAGGCTGGCCCTGGCAGCCTCGGCTGCCTACAGGCCCATGGGCTGCAGATCGAGCAGGTGGAGGACAGGAGCTGCTGGGTGGGTGTCGGAGCGTGGACCCTAGTGCTCTACCCTTCTCTCCTCTCTCTCCTGTCCTCTCCTCTCCTCTCCTCTCCTCTCCTCTCCTCTCCTCTCCTCTCCTCTCCTCTCCTCCCCTCCTCTCCTCTCCTCCCCTCCCCTCTCCTCTCCTCTCCTCCCCTCTCCTCTCCTCTCCTCTCCTCTCCTCCCCTCTCCTCTCCTCCCCTCCCCTCTCCTCTCCTCTCCTCCCCTCCCTCTCCTCTCCTCTCCTCTCCTCCCCTCTCCTCTCCTCTCCTCTCCCTCTCCTCCCTCCCTCTCCTCTCTCCCTCTCCTCCCCTCCCTCTCCTCTCCTCCCCCTCCTCTCCTCTCCCTCCCCTCCTCTCCCTCCCTCCTCTCCTCTCCTCTCCCTCTCCTCCCCTCCCCTCTCCTCCCCTCCCCTCCTCTCTCTCCTCCCCTCCCTCTCCCTCCCCTCCCTCTCCTTCCTCTCCTCCCCTCCCCTCCTCTCCTCTCCCTCTCCTCTCCTCTCCCCTCCCTCCTCTCCCCTCCCCTCTCCTCCTCTCCCTCCCTCTCCTCCCCTCCCCTCTCCTCCCCTCCCCTCCTCTCCTCTCCTCCCTCCCCTCCCCTCCCCTCCCTCCCTCCCCTCCCCTCCCCTCCCCTCTCCCTCCCCTCCCTCCCCCTCCCCCCTCCCCTCCCCTCCCCTCTCCTCCCTCTCCTCTCTCTCCTCCCCTCTCCTCTCCTCTCCTCCCTCTCCTCTCCTCTCTCTCCTCTCCTCTCCTCTCCTCTCCTCTCCTCTCCTCTCCTCTCCTCTCCTCTCCTCTCCCCTCCTCTTCTCCTCTCCCCTCCTCTTCTCCTCTTCTCTCTGCTTTGGGCTTGACACACATCAGGACTCTCTGGGCTTGGGGTTTTCAGGATTCCCCTATCTGTTTCTCCTTGTCTTTCCCCCTCTCACACCCAAGCTTTTTCTTCCCTGTTGTCTTGGCCCTCATGTCTGCTGGACTTGGGAGTCCAATTGGTTATTCATCCCTGTTCCTTTGGGAAGAGAGGGTTGATTTGGGGCTTTGGGGTAGACAGAGACGGAGGGGCTCCCCCATCTGTCCACCTAGAATCCGATGCGGCCTCGTCTCCTGCACGGACTCTCTGGGGTCTCTGTCACACTCTTCTGCTTGGCACTCCTTTCGGTGAGACACAAGACTCCAGGACTCAGAGGGACAGGCCCGGGGGAGAATAGCACCAAGCCAGGGGCCCTGGCACTCACTGACATCTACATTGCTGTCAAGACGACCCAGAGCTTCCATAGGTCCCGACTGCAGTTGCTGCTGGACACTTGGATCTCAAGGGCAAGGAAGCAGGTGACTTGGGGCTGGAGAGGCTTGGGCTGATCTGCCAGGGGCCTCAGGCTCCCTCCTGAGCTGGGTCTCTGTGCCTGAAGGGCAGCCTGATGGGCTGACATGGGCAGGGGCTACAGAGAGACAGAAGCCATGTACTGGGAAAATTAGAGCCATCCCAAGGTGAAATGGGCTGCCCTTCAAGAGAGTGGCTTCCCTCTCCCTGGAGGCCTTCGAGGAGAGGCTGGAGAAGCACTTGTTGGGGATGGATGATGCTTAAAGAGGTGGCCTGGAGCAGCCTTGACTTGGGCATAAGAGGAGCTAGCTTCAAATCCCACTTCTGATTGCCTGTGTGACCTTGGACATGTCACCTCCCCAAGAATTGACTTTCCTCATCCAGAGTTGGACTAGGATGCCTCGATGTTCCTTTGAGCTTGGGATCTGTGGTCTTATGAGATTCTGTGACTTTCTGGGCAAAGCTGTCTCTGCCAGGGACCATCCCAGGCAAAGGTTCTCCTCCCACAGTACCTAGCACTGAGTGACTAAGAGGTTGAGGGGAAAGAGGAGTGAGATGTTGCCCCTGATGGGGTTCCTATTTATCACAGGGTCATAGAGTGAGGAGGAGCAGAATCCCGGAATCTCTGAGCTGGACCAGGCCTGGGAGTGGGCCTCCTGTCCAGCCTCCATATCATCCCTGATGAATGTTCCTTCAGCCTCTGTTTGAACACCTTGACCAATGGAGGGGTATCCACAGTCCTCCTGAGATGACTGTCGCACTCCTGGATGGCTCTAATTGTCTTGGACAGACCCATGACAGGAATCTACTTCTCTGGAACCCAACTGATCTTTGTCTTTTATAGGTCAATGACTCAGTGTCAGTAGAGAGGCTGCTATCAATAAATCCACATTCAGATATGATGGCTCAGCAAACTAGGGTAATCTGGAGTGGCATTAGTTGAGGAAAAGCTTCCAGAAATAAGGAAATGCTGCTTCTGCCCTGAGGTCATAGGATCACAGGTCTAGAGCTGGAAGGGACCTCAGAGACTAGCTAGTCCAATATTCTCATTTTTGCAGATGGGGAAACTGAGGCACAGTGATTTGCTCAAGGTCACACAAACAGCTCAGAAGAGGGCAACCAGAATGATGAAGGGTATTGAGTTAATCTCTTCTGAGGATTGGGATGTTCAGCCTGGAGGCACATTGGACTGGGGAAAGATCACCGGCTCTGACTTCAGAGATCCTGGGTTCAAATCTGGCCTCTGATACTTACTACCTGTATGGCTTTGGGCAAGTCACATCACCTCTGGGCCTCAGCTGCCTCCCCAGTTACATGAAGTAGTTTGATGAGAGGGTATCGAAGGTTCCTTTCAGTCTCAATCTCTGATCCTATGAAGTCACTTCCCCTCTCCGGATTTCAGCTTCATCATGTGCTAATATGTATATAACATATATGTGTATATAACCTATATATGTTACAGATGAGGAAGCTAAGGCTGAAATAGTTTGTGACATGATAATAATTATAGCTAGCCTTTGTGTAACACTTTAAGGATTGCAAAGTGTTTATCTTATTTGATTCTCACAACAACCCTGGGAGGTAGGTGCTATTTTTATCCCTATTTTATAGCTGAGGAAACTGAGGCAAATGGAGGTCACGTGACTTGCCCAGGGATCGTGTGAGTGTCTGGGGCCAGATTCGAACTCAGGATTTCTTGATTGCAAGCTGAGGAGTTTGGGCTGCCTGGCCTCTAAGATTCCATCTTCTTTTTCTTTGAGTCTCTCCCCATCTCTGGCATGAGGGCAGCTTTGTGGACCACTAGGGAGCAGGAGGGTGGCTTCTGACTTCTCATGGGCTTGGAGCTATTTCTTTCTAGGGGTCTGCCCCCATTGGAGACTCTTCTCCCCCTCCCTGCAGGCTCAGCCCTACTCCTCCTTGTTCCTCTGTCCTACCAGACCTGTCTTTACTCTGTTCTTTTTTCTCCTCCTGTTTGGTTCTTGGCGCTGCACTTTCTCTCTGGGTTAGGCTTCTCTTTCTGTGTCACTTTTCTTCTCTCTGTTTCTGTTTTTTGTCTCTCTCCCTTTTTTCCGCTTCTCCTCTCTCTCTCTCTCTCTCTCTCTCTCTCTCTCTCTCTCTCTCTCTCTCTCTCTCTCTCTCTCTGTCTCTCTCTCTCTGTCTCTCTCTCTCTCTCTCTCTCTCTCTCTCCTCCCCTCTCTCCCTCTTTTTTCTTTTCTTTCCCTTCCTCTCTCTCTCTCTCACCTCTCTCTCCCCCCTTCTCTCTCTCTTTCCCTCCTTCTCCCTCTCTCCATTCCTCTATCTCTCTCTCCTCCCTCTTTTTTCTTTTCTTTCCCTTCCTCTCTCTCTCTCTCACCTCTCTCTCCCCCTCTCTCTCCCTCTTCTCTCTCTTTCCCTCCCTCCCTCCCTCCCTCCTCTCTCTCTCTCTTCTCTCTCTCTCTCTCTCTCTCTCTCTCTCTCTCTCTCGCTCTTTATTGACTTATGTCTTGTTCTAGGACCATCCCTGTCTTCCCCTATTTCTCTGGTCCCATAGCATAATAATCTTGTGAATAATTCAGCAATGCTTTCCAACACTAGTAATAGCCAATCCTTCCTTGGACACTTTGTAGATCAAGAGGGAGCTGAATGGAGGGGAAAGAAGACAGGGACTGGAGTCAGGAGAATGGGCTCAAACCCTACTTCTGAAACTTCCTGGCTGTGTGAATGTGGGCAAGACACACTGCTTCAGTTTTCCCTCCTTGCCGATGGCTCTAGACAAGCCTGCTGGTGTTATCTCTGGTTCTCACAGTGCTCTGCTACATGTAATCTCATCAGATCTGTTTCGGTGGCTGCCTCCCTCTCTGTCTACTGTTCTCTGCTGGTCTTTGTTTCCATCTGCACCTCTGTTCATCCCAGAGAGTCCTAACTGCCTTCCTGGCCCTGTGTGGCTCTGTCTCCATCTCTCTCTGGCCTATTCTGTCTGTCTTCCTGACCCTATATTTATTTAACTTTCCTGCTGGTGTCTGCTCTCAGGGGCTGGGGCTCGAATCACAACACTTTTGCTTGGTAAGGTCCAGCTTATTTCCTGTTCTTAGGGCCTAGCTCTTCCGCAGGCCCAGAATGGGCCAGGCTCCCCCCACCCCCAACCCTGACCTTCCACCCCTGCATTTCCCCCTTGCCTACCCACTGGGCCCAAGGCCTCAGACAACTTCCTGTAGGGACAAGGTTGGGGGCTGGGATCTAGGCAGGGGAGATGCTAAGGCTGGCTCAGAGCTGGAGGGGAGCAGGAAGGATCCAGGGGTTCTTCCCAATCCTCTGACCATCCTGCTTCCCTGGGACCCCAACTCCCCATCTCCCTCTTCCCCCCTCTCTGTAAGTGCTGGAGTAGGGGTAGGGAAAGCTCTGGAGGAGAATGGACCTTGTAGGGAGGAGCCCCTTCCCCCATTCCTTCTCCCTGCCCCTCCCGGTATTTCCTGATGGTGGCCCAGGGTGGATCGGAGGGAGGCATGCTGTCACCTCCGGTGTGTTTCCTGTGGGGGCTGTTTCCACAGGGAGGCTGTAGGGTAGACACTCTGTCTTACTGAAAGGGGTGGGATCAGGAGGTGTCTGGCTTGTGAGAGTGGGAGGCATGTGTGTATGTGTGTGTGTGTGTGTGTGTGTGTGTGTGTGTGTTTGTATGTGTGTGTGTGTGATGGCAAAGGGACAATGAAGAAACTACTAGATTGGGGTCCAGAGGAGCTGGCCTCAAGTTTGCCTCTGATACAACCTTGGTGACCCGAGTCACCTGATATTCCTGGGCCTCAGTTTCTTCCTCTATAAAAAGGGGGCTGGACTAGATGACCCCTTGAGATCCCTCCTTGATCTAAAGCCTTTGACTCCAAGTATGCGTATCCATGGATGAGGGGGCAGTGGAAGAGGCTTATAAGGAAGGATCTGGAAAGATAATGGGATTATAACAGGATCAGAAAGTCCAAGCTAGAGGAGGCTCATCTAATCCTCCTTGGTCATTTTACAGATGAGGAAACTGAGGCCCAAGGATATCAAGGGGTAAGCACATGACAAATACTTTCTAATTCCTTCATTAATTCATCAATCCTGTGGTCTCCTGGGTCAGGAGAAGTGGTCCCCGGGGCATCCTGCACCCCAGAACCTTCTGAATCTGGCCTGTGTGAGCATCTGGCCCTTTCCAGCCCTGGCACCATTCCCTCGGCCGGGTTGGGAGGAGGAGGAGGGGGAGAGGGGCGGACGCTGTGGTTAACTCCTCTAAGCTGATCCTCCCCCGTCCCTAGTTTTGTGTGTTAAGTGGGCAGAGTGGCAGGTGGGGCCATTGTGTGGCAGTGTGGGGCGGGGGGCCTCTCCATTGTGGCTGGGGGACGGGGGGGGGCGGCTCCCATCCCTGGTTATTTGCCCTGCTGATCCCGTCCCCCTCTCTCTCCTGTGTGGTGGTGGATGGAGTTGGGCAGGGACAGCCCCAGTGGGCGGGGAGCCCCACGACCCCTTTCTTTGGAACAGATGTGCCTCTTTTCAATCTATTGAACCCCGGGTGGCAGCTTTCCACTGTCTGTTCCGGCAGCCGTTGGCCATTTTTACAGTCTCGTCTGGCCCAGCCCCTCCTCACCCGGGGACGAGGAGAACTTATAAAGATCACAGAAGTGAGGGGCTTGAAGGGACCCTAGAGGGCATTGAGCCCAATCATAATCTGTTTTCAGTTAAAGTCGGCAGAATGCTTTCCTCACAGCAACCCTTTTGGAGCAGGTGCAGTGGCCACTAAGTAGATAAGGAAATTGAGACTCATTAAGGGCCAGGGGCAGTATGAGAACTCAGGTCCCCTGCCTCCAGCTCCTGGGTTCTCTCCCAGGCACTACCGGTTACAGATTTAGAGCAGGAACCTTTCTAATTTTACAAATGGGGAAACTGAGGCCCAGAGAGATAAGTGCATTGCCCCTGGGTTCTCCTACTCCATATCCAACTCTCTTTCTATCTGTTTGTAGATTTAAAGTGGGAAGGTGCCTTGGGGGTCACGTAATCCAAGGCCCATGTTATACAAATCTTTCTATCCAGAAAGAGAGAAGGGTTTGCTGCCCATGATTGCCCCAACAATAAGCGTCAGAAGTAGCACTGGAACCCAGGTCCAACGGCTGTCCTCCAAAGCCTCCCTTCCTGATTCAGTCCGCTTAGGGGTGAAAGCTGGCAGGGCTACCCCTGTGCCCACGTCTGAGCATTAGGCAGGTTCCAGGGTTTAGGATGATGGGAGTTAGATCTGGAAGGGAAAAAAAGCTAATCCCGTTTCCACACGATAGACCTTCAAATGCTTGAACATGACTATCTACCCCTCCACGGAATGAGATAACGTATGTAAAGTGCTTTGCAAGCTTTAAAGTCTTTCATAATGGGAGCTATTATGGTTAAGTCTATGATTCTATGATCCTGCGCCCTGGGGGAAAATGAGGCACAGTGTTGATGAGTTGCTGTTCCAGGGGTTACAGAGACCCTCAAGAAAGGATAGAGCAAAGGACTGAGGCATGGGCAATGCGTTTCTTTGTGTGGTAGTGGGGAGGCAGCTGAGGAAGAGCGAGGGGTGTGTGTGTGTGTGTGTGTGTGTGTGTGTGTGTGTGTGTGTGTGGTGTGTTCGTGTGTGCATGAAACTGGAGCCAAATCCATTTCCCAGGGGGCCAGACTTACACAGAATGAATTAACCAGGAAATCAGCAGGGAGGATGAGAAACTGGGTGGGGGGGGGGATCAAATGCAAAGCTGTGGAAGAGAGGAAAAGGAGAGGAGAAGACCCTGCTGGAAAGCTGCCTGCTGAGACCACCTCCCCCCCCCCCCCATGGACCAGCTGGGTGGCCCTGAAAGATGTAGGGAGCTGGGCTTAGGTGGCTCTTCCCGTGTGTCAGGGGATGTGTGCGACACTGAGAAAGCTGTTACTGTAAAGCGTGTGTCTGTGTGGGAGACTGGACACAAAGTGTGTGTGTGTGTGTGTGTGTGTGTGTGTGTGTGTGAGAGAGAGAGAGAGAGAGAGAGAGAGAGAGAGAGAGAGACAGACAGACAGACAGACAGACAGACAGACAGACAGAAAGAGAGGAGAGAGAGAAAGGAGGAAAAGAGAGTAGGGAGATGGGGAAAGGAGGGAAGGAGAAAGAGAGGGAGGGAGGGAGAGACAGAGAGACAGAGAGACAGAGACAGGAGAGAGACGGGGGTGGAGGGAGGGACTTTTGAGGCTGCATCTCTCTGTAAGGGCAGCAGGACGCTGTAGCTGATAGAGAGCTAAGAAGACCTGGGTTCAAGTCCTGTTCTGACTATATGAAATATGGGTGATGTGTAATAGCCATTTGTGATAACACTTAGCACTTATATGATGCTCCAAGGTTTTCAAAGCACTTTGTAAATGACATCTCATTTGATCCTCACAACAAGCCTGGGAGCTAGGTGTTATTATTATCCCCGTGTTACTGAGGCAGACAGGATTAAGTGACTTGCCCAGGATCACATGGCTAGTGAGTGCTATCAGTTGCTGATAAGATGCTAGCTCTTGTTGGCAGATGGAGTTCACCTGGGCATTCTCTACGTCAAGGAAATCATGGTCCACTTCCTATTTTTCTGTCAAGTATGAGTGTATTAATATAAATAACAGCTATTTGAAGCAACTAGGTGGTATGGGGGTAGGATGGATCTGAGTTCAAATCCAGTCTTGGATGATGTGAGACCCTGGGCAAATCACTTACCTGTTTTCTGCCTCAGTTTCCTCAGTTAAAAATGGGGATCATACAATTCCAAAGGAGTTATGATGAAAAATATTCTCTTCCTCCAGAGAAAGAACTGATGGAGTCTGAATGCAGATTGAAGCTATTTTCACTTTATTTTTTTTTCTTTTGGTCTGTTTCTTCTTTCACAACATGATTAATATGGAAATATGTTTTATATGATTACACATATATAACCTCTATCAAATTGCTTACTGTCTTAGGGAGGGGGGAGGTGAGGGAAGGAGGGAGAAAATTTGATACTCAAAATTTAAAAAAAGTTAAAATTTGCCTTTATATGTAATTGGAAAAATTAAATACTACTAAAAAAAATAAAAGAAAATGAGGATCATAGCAGCCTCTACCTCCCAGAGCTCTCAAGAGGGTCACAGGACACAGTATCTGTAAAGCCCTTAGCGCACTGCCTGGCACGCAGCAGATGCTATATAAATGCTCACCCCCTTTCCTTCTTTTGTCTTGGTGTAACAGGACACAGATGTATTTAGCTAGAGAGGCCACAATGTGTCTCTGATGCTCACCCTAATGCTGGCCCTCACCTAGGGAAGGGTGTATGACCAGCTCCCAGTAACCTCTTGCTTCTCTCTGGTTTTCCCCTGTAGACTTACATCTTCACCGATGGAGAGGACGAGGCCCTCCAGGAGAGACTAGGTAACATGTCTCCTTCCTTTCCCAGGACTGGGGCACCCACCCACCACAGGACTGAGAGCTACACTTGGACTATAGAGTTTATCGGACCCAGTGATGAGGGGGACCTACCAGGCTGGAATGACTTTGCCTGTGTCATGTAGGTGATAAGTAGCAGAGTCAGGATTGGAACCCAGGCCCTCTGACTTTAGATACACTGATGGCTTGTTCCTTTATGCTCTGCTGCCTCCTGGCCCTGGCGTCCCTGAGATGGCTATGTGGGAATCCTTGATGTGATCTGAGACACGGTACTTGGGGAAAAGCAGGCAGTGGGATGGGAATGTCTCCTTCCCCCACCTCAGTTTTCTCAGCTGTAAAATGGAGATCATAATAACACCTACTTCCCTGAGTTGTGGGGATCAAATGAGATATTTGTAGAGCCCTGAGCACAGTGCCTGGCCCATAGTAGGTGCTATATAAATACTTATCTGTTTCCCTTTTTCCTGTCTCTGTGTAAAAGGACATAGATTTATGTAGAAAAGAGGTCAGGATGTGTCTTTAATGGTCATACCAATGACTAAGTGAGGAGATTTCCCCCGGGGAATCTCATTTTCTCCCCAAAGTTACAGTCATTAGCTTCTGCCCTGGGACTGTTTTGAGGGGTGAACATTCCCTGAGGGAAAGAGGATGACTTTCTTTGGTACCTGAATTTCTCTTCAACACAGGATGGGGCTGACCTCTCTGAGGGACAGCTGTGAGGGGGAGGGATGATGCCCTAGGGAGCAGAGGGAGAGTGGGAGAAGCAGTAAGGGTGTGTGTGTGTGTGTGTGTGAAGATGGAAAGATCAGTCAGAAAATCTGGAAGTGAGCCCTGCTGATGTGATGAGAGAATTGCACTGATGTCTCCTCCAGCTCTGACACTCCCTATTCTAAAATCCCATCCTTAAAGGACTGGCCTTGGAGTCAGGAAGCCCTAGATTCAAGTTCTGCCACAAATTGTCGAACCAGAGGCAAGGCACTTCACCTCTTGGAATCCCAGTAAATTTTAAGTTGCTGAGCTCCCTACCTGGAGTTCCCCATGCCAATGAATTCATGGATCCCAGGCCCAGACCAAGCTCCCTCCCATTCTGCCTTTCTATGAGTCAGAATATTATTCTGCCCCCTGATCAGAGGAATGAAGCCCATTCTTTTAGCTCCTGAGCCCTAAATTCTGAAGGAGGCTAGACTGTTGAAACACAGGCCTAGGAAGGGGGAGTGGAGGCCCCATTTCACTGACTCTCCTGTCTTCTCTCTAGGGCCTCACCTAGTGGTCACAAACTGCTCTGCTGAGCACAGCCACCCAGCCTTGTCCTGCAAGATGGCAGCAGAATTCGATGCCTTCCTGGCCAGCGGGCTGAGGTCAGTGGGTTTGGGTGGTGTCTGGCAGGGCCCTGCACCAAGTGAGGTGGGTGTGGTCATGGACCCAAGGTAAGGACCATGGGGATTCTTAGAAGATAGTAGTTTTAGCTGAGGCTGAATGGTTTTAGCTTCCATCAGAAGAATGGGAGCTTCTTGAGGGCAGGGACCCTATATATCCTCACTCTTGTCTCTTACCTAGCAAGAGCACATGGCTGGATGCATAGTATATAGCTTACTGATTATCAATCTACAAGCATTTATTAGATTCCTACTGTGTGCCAGGCACTGGGGCTACCAAGACAAAGAATAAAACAGACCCTGCCTTCAGGAAGCTTACATTTTATCAGGGGAGAAAACCTGTAAATAAATAGACACGCACAATGTGTGGACGGGATCCATACACAACGCATTTGAGGGGGACAGTGAAGGCACCAGCTGTTGGGAGGGGATCAAGAAAGGCTTCTCCTTGAAGGAGGAGCTAGGACTGGACCAGTTCTGACGGATGCAAGGGCTTCTGGGAAGTGGAGGTGAGCTGAGAGTGTGGGCTTTGGTGCTTGCCCTCCTCAGTCTGAAAGCCCTTCTTCATCTGCCTTTATGTCACCCCTCCCCTTATGACACAGGACACCTTTTTCTTGGTGTTATATTTCTTTGTGGACACTTAGATAATTGGATTGTAGATTTAGAGCTGGAAGGGACAGTAGAGGCCATCAGATCTAACCCCCTCTTTTTTTTAAGTTAAATTTTCTTTTTTTTCAATGAACAAAGATTTATTGTCTCTCTACCTCTCCTTTCTTGAAAAAAGAAAAAAAAAGAACCAAAACCATTGTAATAAATATTCCTAGTCAAGCGAAACCAAGTCCCCCATTGTTGTTCAGTCATTTCAGTTGTGTCTGACTCTTTGTGACTCCATTTGGGGTTCTCTTGGCAGAAATATTGGAGTGGTTTGCTATTTCTTCCTCCAGTTCATTTTACAGATGAGGAAACTGAGGCAACCAGGGTTGCATGACTTGCCCAGGATCACACATCAGTATCTGAGGCTAGATGTGAACTCAGGAAGATGAGTTTTCCTGACTCCGGGGCCCCCCTCTATCTATTGCCACCTACTTGGCCCCACATGGCCTGCGCTCCAGATGTGTATCTCATTGTGTATCTGGAGTCCACCACCTGTCTGTCAGAAGATGGGTCACAGGCTTCATTCTTGGTCCTCTGGAATCATAGCTGGTCACTGAGTTGATCAGAATTCTTAGGGCTTTTAGAGCTGTTCCTCCTGACAATAAGATTTGCAGGAACTGATGGAAAGTGAAGTGAGCAGAACCAGGAGAACAATTTATCCAAGAGCAGCAATATTATAAAGATAATCAGCTTTGAAAGACTTGGCATCTCTCATCAACACAATGACCAAGCACCATTTTAAAAGACTCATAATGAAACACGGTACCCACCTCCAGATGGAGAGCTGACAGATTCAGAGCACAGACTGAAGCATATATTCTTCTCTTTCTTTCCTTCTTTCCTCCTTCCTTCTTGCCTTTCTTCTTTCTTTCTTTCTTTCCTTCTTTCCTCCTTTCTTTCTTTCTTTCCTTCTTTCCTCCTTTCCTTCTTTCTTTTTTTCCTTCTTTCTTTCTTTCTTTCTTTCTTTCTTTCTTTCTTTCTTTCTTTCTTTCTTTCTTTCTTTCTTTCTTTCTTTCTTTCTTTCTTTCTTTCCTCCTTCCTTCCTTCCTTCCTTCCTTCCTTCCTTCCTTCCTTCCTTCCTTCCTTCCTTCCTTCCTTCCTTTCTTTCTTTCTTTCCTTCCTTCCTTCCTTCCTTCCTTCCTCTCCTTCCTTCCTTCCTTCCTTCCTCCTTCTTTCTTTCTTTCTTTCTTTTTTTCTTTCTTCTTCTTTCTTTCTTTCTTTCCTTCTTTCTTTCCTTCTTTCTTCCTTCCTTCCTTCTTCTTTCCTTCTTTCTTTCTTTCTTTCTTTCTTTTCTTTCTTTCTTTCTTTCTTTCTTCTTTCTTTCTTTCTTTCTTTCTTTCTTTCTTTCTTTCTTTCTTTCTTTCTTCCTTTCTTTCTTTCTTTCTTTCCTTTTTCCATGACTAATTCAGGAATTTATTTTGCATGACTACACATATTTTTAACAGGTTTGTTTTTCTTTCCTTCTTAATAGGTGGGGAAGAAGAAATAGGAAGGAAGATAATTTAGAAATGAAAAGAAAATAAAACTAAATTTTTAAAAATGTAGTTCCAACCCCCTCACTTTACAGATGAGGAAATTGAGACTGGTTAAATGACTTGCCCAGGGTCACACAGCTAATAGCTGCCTGAGGCAGGATTTGATCTCAGGTCTTTCTGATGTTAAGCTTTGCACTCTATCCACTGATTAGAAGCTTCTCGAGCTCTGTGGAAGCTATGTCCTTGGATTCTGAGGAGGAAGATATGAATTTTTAGCCCTGGCTTGCTGGGGAAGCAGTTAGGTAGTGCAGTGGATGGAATTCTGGGCCTGGAGTCAAGAACATCTGAGTTCAAACCCTGCCTCAGACACTTACTAACTATATGACCCTGAGGAAGTGACTTAATCACTATTTGCCTCAGTGACTTCAACTACGAAATGGGGATGATAGCAGTATCTACCTCCCAGGGTTGTTGTGAGGATCAAATGTGATGATAGCTATAAAAATCACTTAGCATGTTGCCTGATGCATAGTAGGTGCTTGGTGAATGAATACTATCTAACTGTTACTAAGACAAGTCACCTCCTCTCTGGGCCACATTTCCCTTATCTATAACCTGTTGGGGTTAGACTAGGTTGACCGGACGTTTCCTTTCTGCTCGGACATTCCAGCACTCTGTGCTTCCGGTCTAATAAGTAACATGGACCATACACTAATTAACAATCCATAGAGAGGGGGAGCTCAAGTGGACTTGAGTAGTCAGGGAGGGCTTCTCAGAGGAGGGGGCACCTAAGCTGGGTCATGAAGGATGAATAGAATTTCTTTCAAAAGGAAGACAGTGTTGGGGAGGGAAGACTCCTTCTGTTTCTAATTTCTGGCTGTTATGGATTGTTCGCAGCTCAGTGTGAATTCATTTAATTAGATGGTTTTCCTCTTGACTGTTGGCTGGGTGCCTGCACACTGAAGGAATGGAATGAATTGGGATGGAAAAGCATTTATGAGGCTCTTATTTTGTGCCAAGCCCTGTGTTAAGTGATAGGGTTACAAATAAGAAAGGGAGACAGCTCCTGTTCTCAGGGATCTTATACTTTAATTAGGAGAGATGACACTCTCAGGAAAGGGAGATTTGGGAAAGGGAATATTGCTGATTCACTTTTTATAGCTAATGGCAAGTATTTGGTCTGAGGCCAGATTTGAACTCAGGTCCTCCTGACTTGAGGGCTTGTGCTCTATCCACTGTGCCACCTAGCTGCCCCTTGTCTGACACTTTTTGGTTAGGAACTTAGAAAAGTCACTGAATTCTCTGCCTTGGTTTCCCCGAGGCTGAATGGAAGTAATGGCATTAATAGTACCTCAGGGCTGTTTCAAGGAAAGTGCTATTTTAAAAAGTGAATCAGAAGGCAGCTAGGTGGTGCAATGGATAGAGCACCAGCCCTGGATTCAGGAGGACCTGAGTTCAAATCCGGCCTCAGACACATAACACTTACTAGCTGTGTGACCCTGGGCAAGTCACTTAACCCCATTGCCTAGCCAAAAAACAAACAAAAAAAGTAATCTCAAAAAGTGTCAGACGCTGAATTCAAACCCAGATCTTCTCATCTCCCCAACACCACACACTTAGGTAGTGCAGTGGATAGAGTGGAGAGGAAGACCTGAGCTCTATTCTGCCTCAGATTCTAGCTGTCATCTTGGCCAAGACACTGTAATCTCTCAGGCTCAGTTACTCCTGATCTGTAAAATGGAGGGGGGGAGATTTGGATATGATAAAAGGGAATTTGAGGCACTGGTTAGTGCTAGGCTGTATTTTCTAGGTGGTCACAGAACAGAAGGAGAAAGGGAGGGACATGTAGGACAAACCTCTTCTGCTTTAAAAATTTGCCTGGGATCCACCCTCCCCTTCGCCTTCCTATATAGTGAGATCTTCCAGAATGTCCTCTTGCCTCCCATTCCTTCTCTTGGTCAAAAGCCTCAAGTTCAGTTCCCTCATCATATCCTAGTTAGATCTCAAGGCCAATCTAATCCTATCATATGTGTGTGTGTGTGTGTGTGTGTGTGTTGCGGGGCAATTGGGGTTAAGTGACCTGCCCAGGGTCAAGTGTCTGGTCTGAGGTCATATTTGAGTGCTCTATTCGCAGAGCCACCTAGCTGCCCCTCAATAAACATTCATTAAGCTATGTGCTACTATGTGCTAATCTACTGGGCATACAGTTACTTAAAAGAAAGTCAGTCCCTTGAAGCTGGGACTGTCTCATTGCACATAAGTGCTAAATAAAGGCTTTTTCATTCATTTGCAGAGGCCCTCCACCTTCTTTGCCTCCTCTGTGACTCTTCAGTTTATCAATGTCCTGCCTAGAACGTTGGTGCTGAGGACTGACCATCATCCTCCAGCTGTAGCCTGACAGGGGCAGAGGGAGATTGGCATCTTTCTAGTCCTTCACACAAAGCTTCACTTAATGTAGATCCATATTAAATTAGCTTGTGGTCCACTAAGCCCCTTAGCTCTTTTTCAGACAAACTTCTGCCTAGCCAGTTAGCCCTTCCCTCAGTTCTCAGTTATCATCCCCTCCATCTCATCCATCACTACCTCAGTGGCTTTTCCTGTTGGGTTGCTGTGAGGCTAGAGGGACTGGGAACTCTAGATTCTGCCCCAAGAGTCTGGCTAAGAGATTACTGCATCTGTCTCTTTCCCCCAGTTGGTTCTGCCACTTGGATGATGACAATTACCTGAACCCAGAGGCCCTGCTGATGCTCCTGTCCTCCTTCTCACCCACCTGGGATGTGTATGTTGGTAAACCAAGTCTGAACAGGCCCATCATGGCTTCAGAGCCAATGCCCAACAACCAGATGGTTAGTGCTGCCCCCTACTGCCTATGTTGGCTGGGATTTCTCAGGGGAGGGGAGAGGGAGACAAAGATGACTTTGATTGGGGACTTAGTGACCATAAGCATTGTACAGTAGAATGAACATTGTCTCTGGGATCAGAGGACCTGAGTTCGAATGTTGCTTGTGGTCCATGTTGCCTTGTGACTTTGGGCAAGTCACTTAACCCCTGTGGGCTTCGGGTTCTTATCTATAGTCTGAAGAGGTTGACCAGACAACCTCTGAGGTCCATTCTAGCTCCAGAGCGCTGATCCTTCATTTCACACGTGAGGAAAATGAGGCCCAGAGAGAGGAAGTGATTTGCCCCTCATGGAACAATGAATAGTGATAGATTTGAAGTCAGGGAACTTGGGTTCAAATCTTGCCTCAGACATTTACTAGTTTCACGACCCTGGGGAAGTCCCTTTCCAGTGCTTGGAATTAGGCAGTCCTGAGTTCAAATCTGGCCTCAGATACTTACTAGCTGTATGACCGTGGGCAAGTCACTTGACCTCTGTTTGCCCTAGTTTCCTCAGGTTTAAAATGGGGATAATAATAGCACCTACCTCGAAAGGTTGTTGTGAGGATTGAATGAAATATTTGTGAAGTGCTTAGCATAATGCCTGGCACATAGTAGGCACTATTCTTGTTTAGTTGATTAGTTATGTCCAGCTCTTTGTGACCCCATGTGGGTTGTTTTTTTTTTTTGGGTAGACATACTGGAGTGGTGTGCCATTTCTTTCTCCAACTCATTTGACAGATGAGGAAATTGAGGCAAATAGGGTGAAGTGACTCACTCAGAGGCACACAGGAAGTGTCTGAGGCCAGATTTGAACTTCAAGCCCTCTTGATTCCAGGGCCAACACTCTACCCACTTTGACACCTGGCTGCCCAGTAGGTGCTATGTAAATGCTTATTCCTTTCCCTTGCCTTAACTAAGCCTTCCCTCTCTAAGCCTCAGTTTCCTCACCTGTAAAAGGACTACATCATATAGTTATTTGTGAGGACTAAATGAGGGAATGTGTATGTGTGTGTAAAAGGCTTTGTAAACATCAAAGTGTGATAAGCATGCAAGCTACTCCTATTATTATTATCTCATTCTCATTTTTTGTGTGTGTGTGAAGAAGTTCAAATATAAATTTGTCCTGGGAAAAGCTGATACTCTGCTTTGTTTAATGTTTAATGCAGCCTAATAGATAAAGGGATTGAGAAGCCAGGAAGACGTAGGCTCCAGTTTCACCTCTGATTCATGGTGGTTATGTAACCCTGGGCACATCACTTAACCACTGAGTGCTCTAAGACTTAGGTGGCAGAGAAGGTGCCAAGCTGCATCGGTAGAGGGATTTTCCTCACCTGGGAGTTCCCTATATCAGTGACATCACAGGTCCTATTGAACATTTTCTGGATGCTCCCAGATGCTTAAGATTTCCTCAAACTAGGTCTCTATGTTTTGAAAGCTTTTCATTCCGGGTAGGCTGGAGATTATGAGTCTTTGGTATGTGACATCCATTGAAATCATTGTACTTAAAGTTTTATGGATCCACATTATATCCGGGCAACTGGGGCCAACAGTCCTGTCTGTCATGATGTTCTGGGTTTGGTGCAGTTTATGACTTGAATTCTCAAGGAGAGTTAAGGGGAGAGAATGTATTTGCTATTATTATTACCCAAGGTCTTACAGCAAGTTAGAGCCAAGATGGCAAGCCTAAAAGACCAAAAAAAAAAAAAAAGGAATGAAAAGGAGAAGAGTTTGACAAATGCAGTGTCAGGAAACCAAAAGAGGAGATCGAGAGTATCAGGTGCCTTGGGCAAGTCATGTGAGGTCAAAGCAGATGGAAAGGGTCATTAGATTCGTCAGTAGGGTAATCACAACTAATTTTGGAGACAGCAGTTGCAGTTGATTGGTGGGGATGGAAGCCAGACTTTGAAGGTTTGAGGAATGAGTGGGTAGTGAGGAAGTCAATGGAAGCAGCTCGTGTTGACGGCTCTTTCTAGGATTTTGGCAAGGAAGGGGAGGAGAGAATGAAGAAATGACAAAACATTTATTAAGCAGATGGTCAAGGTCAAGGAAGCTTAATTTTTTCCCTTTTTTTAGTTTGGGGAAACCCTGAATATATTTATAGGCTTTGGGGAAAGGAGCCAAGAAGAAGAGATTAAAGATGCCTGAGGAGGGGATGATTGATGGAGCAAGGACAAGGAGGACAATTGGAGCAGATGATTAGAGAGTCAGAGCTGGGAGGGACTTTAGAGGTCTTCTAGGCTGACTCCCATTTTACAGAATGGGAAACTGAGGCCCAGAGATGTTAAGTAACCTACCTCAAACCACATAGGTAGTGTCAGAACCATGATTTGAGATGGTGGGATGGAGGGTACAAGTGGAATCATTAGCCCTGGCAAAAGGGATGGCCACTTTATCTTCTTAAAACTTGTGGGAAGGAAGAAAGGATGAATGAGAATACTGAGAGTTTTAGAGACATTGAAGGGAGAGCTAAATTAATTTTCCATCAGATGGCCACAATTTTCTCAGTTAAAAAGGCAGATGAGGTCATCTGTTAAGAGGGAATAGGGCCAGTGTATAGTAAGGGCTTGTTAGGAGTGGGGATAAAAGATTGGGAAGAATTATTGTGGGAGGTGTGATAGATAATCACCAAGAAATGTCTAAAAGGAGGGCTATATAGCAATGGTGGCCCAGTTGAGATGCCAGTACATGACTTGATGGGGTTCCTCCTCATTTGGCTGATCTGGAGTAGGAAGAAAGGGTTGCAGACAGTGGAAGTTGCCAACTGGAGTTGCCTGGGTGGTGAAACATAGGAAGCTCAAAGGGTTGAGGGATTCTAGGGTGAAGGGGAGGGCATCTACACACAGTGGTGGGATAGGGAAGCTGGAGGTGTCAGGAGAGGCTTCACAGAGGAGAAGGGACTTCATAGAAACTAAGTTCTCAGGGCTGGAAATGACCTTCATAGGCTTGTGTCTGAGCTGGAAGGAATCTGTGAGATCATTTAGTCCAATCTTGTCATGCACACTTGAAGAGACTGAGGCCCAGAGAGAGGCAGTGATTTGCCCAAGGTCACACGGCTAGAATCAGTGAGATTTGAACCCAAGGCATTTGATACCAGATCCAATGTTCTTTTCACTGTACCATCCTCTGTTTTGGGGGAGACTGGGAGATGAGGCCATTGGGGTAATTCTCATGTTGAGCCTCCCTCCTGCTCTGGTTGAGGGAATTTGAAGGATCCGGCCATGTCCTGGGGCCCAGAGTTTCCCCAGCCAATCCCAGTCTTTGCTCTTCTCTCCCTCAGAGGCCAGTGCGATTCTGGTTTGCTACAGGTGGAGCTGGCTTCTGTATCAACCGAAAATTGGCCAGGAAGATGGTGCCATGGGCCAGGTGAGCAGGACTCCTGGGGGATGGCTGGTGGGGTGGCCTGAGAGTGCCCAGCTAGGTGATACCTTTGGACACTAGGGCTGTGGGGAAGTTTCTTCTGCAGCAGGAGGTGTTTGAGAGGGAACTCTCATAGGACCTAGGTTCAGATTCTGCTTTTAACACATCCCAGGCTGTGTGACCCTAGGAAAGTCACTTTTTCCCCCTCATCTATAAAATGAAGTCATTGGGTTAGATGACTTCTAAATTACCTTCCAGCTCTAGATCTTTGAGCTTACCTGCGTGACCTTATGTTTTTTCTCTTTGGGCCTCAGTTTACTCATCTCAAAATGGAGTAGGAAACGAGCTCTTTCAATTTTTTTTTTTTGTAACTCCAGTGCTTAGCATATGACCTGATACATAGTAAGCAGTTGATCAATGCTGGTTGCCTTGCCTGTGATTATAAGACTCCCTACCAGTGAATGTTGGAGATTGTCAGATTGGATCATGGAAGGAAAGGTAGGATAGTACAATAGAGAGTCCTGGACTTGGGATCAGGAAACTCCATACCTCCTAACTGAGTGACCTTGGACAAGTCATGACCTTCCTGGGTCTCAGTCTATTGATATTGTGAAGATTAAATGAGATAAGGTATGTCTGATGGGAAGCAGTAGAGGTGACCAGAGAAGGCTTCAAGAAGGAGGTGAGCTTTGAAGAATGGTCATTAGCCAAGGCTAGCAAAGCCTGCTTTGGATCTTGTCCCAAATGGCTCAGCAAGAGGGTTCTTCTTCTCCCAGTGGCCCCAATTTCCTGAGCACCTCCACTAAGATCCGTCTACCTGATGACTGCACTGTGGGCTACATTGTTGAGTGCAAGCTGGGGCGCCGCCTGCTCCCCAGCCCTCTGTTCCACTCCCACCTAGAGGACCTGCGGATCCTTGGGGCTGCTCAGCTCCCAAATCAAGTGAGTTGGGAGAGAGGGGAGAAACGAGAAGGCGCTGGCAGTTGGTGGGAATGACAGGTGGGCCAAGGGCTATCCCTGGGGTGGGGGCATCAAATTTACCTTTTTCTCTGTCCCATTGGGCTGTCCCTTCTCCTAACTCACTGTATAACCTTGAGTAAATCACTTCTGTCTCAGCCTGTTTCTAATTCTATAAGAAGAGAGTTTTGGAATAGAAGGGCTCTAAGGCTCCTCCCAGCTTTAATGTTCTGTGTTCTGAGATCTTAGAATCTTAGAAGTAGAGCTGGAAGGGACCCCAGAGGCCATCTAGTTCAATCACTTATTTCACAAAAGAAGAAACTGAGGCACTGAGTCATAAAGGCGGTAAGTGGAAGAGTTGAGATTTGACCCTAGGTCCTCTTTCTAATGAATTAGTCTTTCCCAGCTCTGATATTCCATGTTCTAAGATGGTCCCTCATTTGTGTGGGTGTTTCATCCTTTATCCTGAGTGTTTTTTGCCCACATCTTTCCATAATCCCCCAAAGAGGAGCCATTCAATATCCAGGGAATCTGTTTGTGATGCTTTTAATACTCCAGAATATAAGCATATTGAGGGTAGTGATAGTTTCATTCTTTGTGTATCCAAAGCTCCTGGTACACAGTAGGCACTTAATAAATTTTCATGGATTTCTTGATTGATATGTACATGTTGCCTCCCCCAAGAGAATATAAGCTCCTTGAGGGCAGGGATTGTATTATATTCATCTTTTTATTCCTTCTCCTTGGCACATAGTGGGTTCTTAATATGTGTCCGTTGGCTGATGGATTAAAGCTGTCCATCTTTTACTTCTCGTTTTCACCGTAAGACCAGTTCACCTCAAGCCCATCATATGTTTCTTCCACCAAGTCTTTAGAGAGTTATGGTGGGTATTATGATATGGCCCTATTCCCACTATACATCAACTTGTTATTCTTTGGGTCACTTGTCTTTGGGATTTTCTGAAGATGATGTTCATGGTTCGTGTCCCAAGATCCCATATGTATGATAAAGTACCTTATTTGTGCCATGCTTAAATCTTAAATAAATGATGGGATGAGTAAACGAAAAAACACCTACTTGGTGCTAGGCACTGTGCTAAATGCTTGGAATACAAGCAGAAAGGCAAGATCATGGCTACTCTACAGGAGCTCGCACTCTCATAGAGGAAGACAACATATATAGTAGGTTCCTGCTGCAGATGGAAAGGCCCAAGGGTCCTTAAGGTGCATCTGCAAAGCAGAGGGAAATGCATCTTCTTTAATGTCATTTTTGTGGAATAAAATTCTGACAGTTTCCAATGTTGAACCATCAGATAGCCTTGGGTCTTCAGCAGCTATTGCTATGTGATCCAAGATTTAGAATTGGAAGGGACCTTCTTGGTCATCTAGTCAAGCCCTTTCACTTTGCAGATGAGGAGACTGAGGCCTGGACGAATTAAGTGACTTGTCCAAGGTTGTACAGGTTGTAATTAGGAGAGGCAAGATTTGAACCCATATCTTTTGAGTCCAAATCCATTATTCTTTCTGCTTATCTCTGAGCCTACTCCCATGTCCCTTCCCTCTCCAAACCCTTCTCTTATCTTCTGTCTACCTAGGTCACTCTCAGTTATGGAGTCTTTGAGAAGAAACTCAATGCCATTGACCTGGAGGGCCCCTTCTCTCCACAAGAAGACCCCTCTAGGTGTGTCCTCCTCTGATGGATCCAGAGGGGAGGAGATTGTGGTTGGGGGGGAGATGAAAAGGGTAGATGTGACTAGAGAGGAGGGAACTATGTATGGGCAGGGCTGGGATCGTTTTACTTTCATTGGATTCTGGTCTGTTATCTAGCCGCCAAGGTGCTAAAGGGAAGGGATTATATTTTTAGAGAGGAGGAATGATCAGGAAAAGAGATTTAAGCCAGAAGACTTCTCCAGCTTGATCAGTAGAATTTACAATAAAGATGACCTAGAGTAAGAACCGGGACTAGGAGAATGGGAACTTTAGGATCAAAGAATTGGAAGAGACCTTCGAGGTTATCCTGGGAAGCTCTTGGAGTAGCAATGTCCTCCCCCCCCACCCATATGCCCTACACACAAGTGGCCATCCCATTTCTACTCAAACACCTCTAGTGACAGAGAGCTCAATACCTGTCAAGGTAGCCCATTTGGTCGTTGGACAGCTCTGATGACTAGAATGTTTGTTATACTGAAACCTGAATTTTCCTCTCCATTTTACACACAGTGATCTTTATTTTTCCCCTTGGGGTGATATAGAACCTTATGGAAGATGATGTGGAGGAAATTTATGTGGGTGTGTGCATTGATTTTTGGAGCCTATAAAATTATACTTCCATGTATTCCAAGGGTGGATAGGAGCACCATTCCTGCCTCTTCCGGCCCCTCAATTTCAATAGGAGATGACAGTCCCTCAGACTGACACCCATGACCTATAGGAATTTACCTCCCCACCTCCGCATCATTCCTTCACCCCGCTCCCTAAGCAGTGTGGTTCCCCTGGTGTAGCTCAACCAAAGGAATGCCTCAGGCATTCACCTAGTAGAGAGAGGGAGCAGGGTCTGGGCTTCAGGCAGTTGAACAGTGACTCAGGGAGGAAGTTGGAGGACGAGAGGGAGCCTCATTCTTTTCTTTTCTTGGTTTCTCTTGGCAGGTTCCGATCCCTCCATTGTCTCCTTTATCCTGATACCTCCTGGTGCCCACAGCAGGCTGCTCAGTGACCCCTGACACCTCCTTCTTGGGCCAAAGGCCAAAGGAGGCCTTTGGTTACTGTGTCACTTACAGAGGACCTGAGAGTCACCTCCAGCCCAACCTTTCCTTCTGCAGTGGGCTTCCCAGGAAAGAGCAAGGGTATTGCCAATGGCGGAACGTCTTGGTTTCCTGACCTCCTTCAGGACGAGGTCTGGGTTTGGATAGTGGCTATCATCTAAGGAAAAGACTGATCTCCCCCATTCATGGGACACCATCTCCCCCAGGTGACCTAGTAAAGAGTTGGGTAGCTAAGGAAGCTGGGAAGACTGAGTTGGGAGGTGGAAAGGCTCCATGCATTCCTATGAAGGATGAGTCAAACAGAGGGTTAGGGACAGAACTTTGGGGAAAAGGGGCCAGGAAGTTTCTCTACCTTCCTGAGGTGGGAGGTCCTAACTGTCTACAAAGGGCAAAGCAAAACTCCCAACTGGATCTTGGGGCAGGGTTGTCCTTCTTTGGACCTCAGTTTCCTTATCTGAAAAATGAGAGGATTACATTTGATGGTTTCTAAAGTGTCATTCCATGTTCTAAGGGCCCTTAGCTCTAACTGTTTTCAGGTCCCTCCCACTTTCTGTGTTCTGAGGGCCCTCCCATTGCTGACATTCCATGTTTTGAGGTCCCTCCTAGCTTTGACATTCTGTAATGCCTTCTCTACTGACTCAGACTCTTGTTGGGGCTCTGTCCTTCTGAGACCAGCTGCAAATACCTGTGAACTGGTCACGTCCCCCAGTAGAATAAAGTGAGATATTGGGGCTCAGTCACAAATTGGGTTCTTTTCTAAAAGTCTATGTATATATACTGGGCCCCATCTTGGGGTACTTGTACTGATCCCCCTAAGACTCTAAGTGACAGAGGAGTTGCTAATTTGTATTAGTAAAGGGAATTTCCTCATGTGGGAGCTCCTTGCACCAATGAAATCACAAATCCCCCCAAAAGTATCTTACTATAGGGAGAAAGAACAGGAGAGCCCATTGGGTAGCGTCCCTGCTACTTTAGACTTTCTATTTGCCCTAGACATCCTTCTCCAGTGATCAGTCCTAGGATTTAGAGCAAGCAAGGCACCTTAGAGATGATATGACTGAAGTCTCCTATTTTGCGGAGGAGAAAACTGAGGCTATAGAAGGAAATTAATTTGCCCAGATCACACAGGTAGAGAGCATGTCAGCTAGGCTTAGAACCCACATTTTCTGCTCCAAATCCAAAGTCCTTTTCATCTGTACTTCAAGCCCCCTCCTAGGTGTGGCATGGTGTGATGATTGTAACAAAGTATGTGGCCTGGTGGTAAGGGAAAAGGGGAGTGTCAAGAGGCAGGGACCCTTTGCTTCACCCTTTGGTCCAAAAAATGGGAATGGGTTTGAGTTGGGATGTGAAAGAAACAGGATACTGTATGGTTAAAGCTGAGCTAAGTAACCAGCAATATGGTATACTTAGGGAGGTCCCTGAGGATGAGTGATCCAGGGCCTGGCACATACTAGGCATTTGTTAAATTGAGTGATTAATTGATGGATGTCTGGCGGGGGGGGGGATGCTGGATGAGTTAAGGGGGAGATTAAAACATTCTTATTTTATTGATGGTGTGTTTTCTTTTACATTGCTGACATTTCCCAATGCACCTTCTCCTCCCCCACCGTGAAATTCTGTAGCATCCTTTCCAATCCAAAAACCGGACAGCTAAGCAAAACAAATCAATACACTGTCCTTGTCTGATGACATATGTTTCATTTTCACCTGTAGTTCCCAACTTCTGAAGCAAAACAAACCAATACTTTGATGTTGCCTCATTGCTAGCCTGTAGCTCTACTTCTCAGGGTTTTTCCCCCCATGAACAAACATTTATTTTGTCTCCCCTCCCCTGTAATTTGAAAGAAAAAAGAGGAAAAATAAAGCCCTTGTAACAAATCTGCCTAGACAAGCAAACAGATTCCCATGTTATTGATGTCCAAAAAATATATGCCTTATTGTTCATCTTGTGCCCATCGCTTCTCTGGCAGGAGATGGGCAGCTGGTTTTATTGAGAGTCCTCTGCAGTGGTGGTGGTAGTGGGGTCATTGTGTTTATCAGAGTTCCTAAGTCTTTCAAAATTATTCATCATTACAATGTTATTGTATAAATTTTCCTGCTTCTGATCACTTTGCTCTACAGAAGTTCATATAAATCTTCTCGGGTTCCTTTGAATCCATCTCCTTCACCATTTCTTACAGCATAATAGTATTCCATAATATCCATCTACTATAACTTGTTCAACCATTCTCCAGTGGATGTTTCTACCCTCTCACATAACAAACCATTACACTGTCAGTGTCTGACTATGTGTGTCTCATTCTTCACCTGTAGTCTCTAACCCAGGGGTAGGGAACCTGCGGCCTCACGGCCACCTGTGGCCCTCTACATCTTCAAGTGCATCCTCAAGTGGATTTGATTGAATGCAAAGGGCTGCACTTGAGGACCTAGAGGGCTACATGTGGCCTTGAGGCTGCAGGTTCCCCACCCCTGCTCTACCCTCCTTCAAGAGGAGGGAAATAGATTTCACCATCAGGGTAAGGAGGGGAATTAATCTATCCCCAATGGTGTGAACATCCATGTTAGGAAGAGAGAGGGATTCCATATCTGACTCATCCTGCCAGTAGGTGAGCAGTAGACACTGGGACCACCCTTTTATCACTGGTTTTCTTTTGGGGGTGGATAATTTATTCAGTTCCATACAATTAAATCAATATTTATCTATTTAAAGGTCTATAATGTCCAGGGCTGAAAGAGATCTTGGTAGCTAGGTAGTGCAAGGAATAGAGTTTGGGACTTGAAGTCACAAAGACTTGAGTTTAAATCTAGCTTTGGAGACTTACGGGTTGTGTGACGCTGGGCATGTAACTTCTCTGTGCCTCAGTTTCTTCATCTGTAAAATGAGGATAATCATAGCACCTACCTCCTAGAGTTGTGAGGATCAAATGAGATGAGACTTATAAAGTCACTTTGAAAACTTTAAAGTGCTGTATAAATACTGGTCATCATCACCATCATCATCATCACCATCACCATCATCATCATTATTATCATCACCATCACCATCACCATCATCATCACCCTCATTGTCATCATCACCATCACCATCATCACCATCATCATCATCTAGAAGTGGTTTTGCTACAGCCTTACTTAGGGCTGGGCCTGGGACAGGTGTGGGGATGTAAGCATAGTAAATAAGTATATAAGTAAAATAAATAAGAGTCAGATTTTAATGCTTCTGTGTAAACCTTACAGCACTATACAAATGTGAGTTCTTCTTATTAATTACTACCTGTGTGATCTTGGGCTGGTTGATCACCTGTCAGGCAGGCTGTTGAGGGGATTGTTGTTCAGGAACAGATTGGACTAAGTGGTCCCTTTCAACTCTGAGATTCTGTGTGACGTTGGTCAAGTCATTTATCCTGTGCTTATTTCTTCATCTGTAAAATGAAGGGGTTTGACTAGGTGCCTTCTAAGATCCCTTCCAGCTCCAGATAATAATATTTAAACTTCGGATCTTCGGTTACCTCTGAGGTTCAGAGGGGAGGGTACAAGATTTTAAGGCTAGTATCTGTGCACTGGAAGAAGCCCATCGAGTGGTTGCTCAGTAGATAGGCAGGGTTGGGGCTCATGATGAAGTTCAAGCCAAACTGTGACCTTCTCTTCTGTGACCCTCTCTTCAGGCTCTTATGAACCTGTTGTGAAGGTGGAGGGAAAGCATTTAGGGTGAGAGCAAAAGACGTTATCTAAACATTGTAATTTTTGTCCCATCATGTGCTTCTTAGGTATACTGTACAGATACAGAGGATTCCTGTTCAGGTAGGGGTTAACTCAGCTCACCTCTGAGGCCCCTTCCAGCTTGGAGATTCTATCAGATTTTTTGAAAATTGTCCAGCCTGCCTGTTCCTAGACTGGAAGCTCCATGTGGGCAGAGACTTTCTACTTCCCTCATCACTAGGCACAGTTCTCTACACACAGTAGAGTCATGGTGGCAGGAGCCAAAAAAGATCTTGGACAGATTAGAAAAATGAGCCAAGACAAGTAAGAAATTAAAGACAGATAAATGCCAAGTTTTATAACCGGGATAAAACCAGGATTTGCTACAAAATGGAGGCAGTATGAAAACCAGACAGCATGAAAAAGGCTAGTGGATCCACTGTGGTCTGAGTGGCTTTCAAGCGCAATGTGATGCAGTAACCAAGAAAGCTAATGAGACCTGAAGCTGGATTAAGAGAGGCTTAGTGCTCAGGACTAGGGTGAGAAGAGTGCAGCCATATTCTTCCTGGGTAGACCACTTCTGGAAAATTGTATTCCACTCTGGGCACTCCTCTTTAGGAAAGCCAGTGTTGAGCTAGAATGCATCCAGAGAGGACATCTCGTCTTATAAAGAGACTAGAGGTTATGTCATAGGAGGATGGGTAGTGGGAACTAAGCCCAGAGAAGAGAAGACTTGGGTGGGGGTGGGGAACATTAAAGCATGTAAAGGGTGGCCGTGTGCAAGGGGGATTCAATTTGTTCCGCTTGGCCCCAGAGCGAAGAAGTAAGAATGAATGGTGACAGTCACAAAGGGAGAGATTTAGGCTTGATGTAAAAAAATGGGAGTTATCTGAAAAGGGAATGAGTTACCCCAGGGGGTAGTGGGTTCCCCTCACTGGGAGTCTTCCAGGGGAGGCTGGGAAGACCACTTTTTTGGAGCTTCTGTGCAGGGGATCCCTATTCAGGCATGGGTTGGATAAGATACTTTTAAAGCCTCCTTACAACTCTTGAGTCTCTCAACCTCATGAATACCGTGAATGCTGAAATTCTGGGATTCTGTAGATGTCACTCTCATGTCTGTTTTTAGAAACATCAGCAGATTTGATAGCCTCTGATAGTGGGTTGCTGAGTATCCAGAGGGATGGAGAAATTGAGAGTTCTGCCATCTGGCTCCATTGTCCAGGAATTGTGGAGGGGGAAGGGGAAACTGAGAGGACAAAGCAGGGGGATGGAAAAGGGAGGAGGAGGAAGAGAGAGGAGGAGGAAGAGAGAGGAGGAGGAGGAAACAATAGAGAAAAGCCTGGGAGGCATGGATTTTTCACAAATGAGAGATCTAGGTTATAGGCCTGGCTTTGCTACTAACTTGCCAAGTGTCTTTGGTAAATCAGGTTCTCCTCTCTGGACCTCAGTTTCCTTATCTGTAAAATGAATCAGCCGGATTTAATGATTTGTGAGTTCCCTCTTGGCTTTGACATTTTGTGATAGTAAAGAAAGGGATCCTTCCCCTCACAGTGCCCAGGCAGCATTAAGGGTGCAGAACTGCCATTTGCCTTGAAATATTTGCATAGCCTCCCTCCCTCATATTCATCTGGGTTCCTTTCCCCTCCTTCTCCCAACAAATCCCCAGGCTTAAGAAGCTATTTCAGCAAACACACCTTGTCCTCCCTCAACAAAAAGACTGATTCCCTTTTCACCCAAATGTGGAATGGAAGGGGGGAAGGACAAAGAAGGAAAAACTATATTGACTACTTTTAGGTGACCCTCCTGATTCTTAGCTTGCTTTGTCTCTCCCATCAATTTTTTCTGCACTCATGGGATCATAGATGTTAGAAGTAGATTGTTTACCTCCTTGTTTTCCCCATAGTGGGAAGCACAGATTTCTCCATGGGATAGTGGAAAGAGCACTGGTGTGATCCCTTGGGTAAATCACATCACCTTTCTAAGGAGCCTCAGTTTCCTCCTCTGCAAAATGGGGATAAAAAGAGCTGGCTCCTTATGTTAGGGGAATTGAATGATAGAACCATGGAGACTCAGCACTTGAGTGTGGAGGGTGAATGGGTATTCAGCACCATGGACAAAGACATTTCTTCACAGGCTTAGTCAGGCACGTTTGGAAGGAGTTGGGGGGTCTTGTACTCTCTAGCTAAGAAGTGACATGACTGAAATCCAAAGTTTCCCTTCTCCCATTAGGGGGCAGGAAATCCTAGCACAAGAAAATTGGCTGGAGGAACTGGGGATATTTGAAGAAAAGCCTTAAAGGATACAAGATAGCTGTCTACAAGTAAATGAAGGGTTGTCATGTGTAAGTGAAAATACTCCTGTTTTGTCTGCTCCCACAGGGCAGATCTAAGAATTCTAATTTCAGAAAGCCAGATTTGGGCTCAATAGAATGAAAGCCTTCCTTAACAATGAGAGCTGTCTCAAAATTTAATGAGCTACCATTGAAGGTGGAAAGTCGCCCATTACTGGAGCTCTTCAGGCTGGATGACCTCTTGTTGGGGATGTGGAGAGACACCTGTTCAGGTCTGGCTTGGGCCAGATGACCTCGGAGGTCCTTCTGATGGAATATTCTGTGATTCTGTGCCTCATGCTTTTAATGTCATAGCTACAGTGCCTTTGGGGTCTGTATTTGGAAGGATGAGATTAGCCTGGAGGAGCATGTAATTGATTCTATATGGAGGGAGCTGTATGATTAATATTTTCTCTAACTTTTAAAAAATGGGATTAGCCAGTCATGCTCCATGGGCCATGAACTTTGAAGCTGTGGACACAGGGTAATGATTCAAGTCAACCAAGATGTATCATGTATTGGAAATCACGGTCTGACCCTCAAATCTAGGAATAGTGAGCACTGGATTTAAAGTTAGGCCACTAGGGTTTGAGTCCTTTATAGACTTTATAATTTATAACACGTTTGACCTTGAGTAAGTAATCTCTGTGGGTTTTTGTTTCCTTATCTATAAAATGGGCATAATAATAACACCTACCTTACGGGTTTGGGAGTTTATCTAGAGTATTACACAAATGTAAATTATTACTATTATACCATCTATCTTTGATGATTTCTAATGTCACTCTTCACTCTAAATTCTATTACCCTATCTTCCTATTCAGGATTTAAGAAGATTAAAA